GTCCTGCAACTGAGTATCATTCCACCTTACCATTAATCAACTGAAAACTTTACATTGCTGTGATTCTTTCTTTTGCAAAAGTCCTGTCTTGCAATTCCCATAGTTAAAGGAAAATTGGAGCGATTTGTCAAAGACATACAAAAAAGAGGTAGCACTTTTTTTTTAAATGTGTTATTATTAAAACAACTTTAGTAAGAGTCACTAATCGTGTTGGAGATTGAACTCAACATGGCAGCAGAAATCATTGCAAATGGTACTCTCCTGATTCAATGACGTCCACTAGCCACTGTTAGCACTGGTTAAAAGTGGTCTTTACATTTTGCTTCCTTTAACTCATATGTTTGAGGGATATTAACCAATAATTCTATACTTGCAGCTAGTCTAACTTCCATGAGATCCTCTTAATGCAGAAAAGGTGTTGTTGAAGGAGGAGAGGAAATGAGACAAATGGGGAACTAAGGGAAAGCGACACATGGGGAGGCTGGGAGAATGAGACACATAAGGGGCTGGGAGAATGAGACACATCAGGGGGCTGGGAGAATGAGACACATAAGGGGTCTGGGAGAATGAGACACATGAGGGGGCTGGGAGAATGAAACATATCAGGGGGCTGGGAGAATGAGACACATAAGGGGCTGGGAGAATGAGACACATGGAGGGCCTAGGGGGGATTGTGCACATGGATGGGCTTGGGGGGAATGAGACCTGTGGAGGGGCTGGGGAGGAACTGAGACACATGGGCGGCTTGGTAATGAGAGACGTGTGGGAGATGAGATGCATGGAGGGGCTGAGGGGATCCCACAAAGCATCATAGAGGGGCTGGGGGGGAGAAAGAGATAAGGTGCTGGGGGAAAGAGACCCACAAATGGGGCTATGGAGAGAAAGAGACAAACAAAGGGGTGGGGGAGCAAAGAGCAACAGAGGGGCTGGGAAATGGGCAAATGAGACAGAAAGGGGCTTGTGGGAGAGACACCCAGAGAGGCTGGGGGGACACAAAAAGACACAGAGGGCCTGTGGAAATGGCAAATAAGACAGATCGGAGCTTGGGAGAGAGACACACATAGGGGCTGGGGGGACACAAAGAGACGGAGGCTCTTTAGTCGACTAAAATTAAACTCTACCCAACTCGTTAACACAGCCCACTGCTCATTTGCCTGATTTGCATTTTTGGTCAGTCTGGGATTGTATGCACTCAATGTAGGAAATCTAACATACATGTAAAAATAAGGAAAATGCTAGTACTCTTCCAAACGTGTGGGGGAAAAAATGAGAAATTTCCAGTAACTTGAAGGCTATTCACATAAATTACTAACATATACACTAAACCATATTTTTCTAACAACACTCTGAACGAGCACCATATTGAGTCTAATACCATGAAAAAGTTCTGAGATGGTAAGACTATCAAATGAATTAGGTAACAAGTAATTTGTGTACTATTCTTCAATGATCTGTAGAAGATGGCCCTCTAACGGTACTGGACCCTAATTTTATTGATTTCTTTTCATTCATTACCCTTTGCTCTCTGCTGGTATTCCAGCATTCAAACACTGAACTTTCCTGTAATTTCTCCAATAAAATTTAGGTGGGTAATACTTTCAGAATCTTACATTAAGTCCATATATAGTCCAATTTGATTATTATAAATGTCCAAAAGTTTTGTATTGAATTTGGAAGTTTCATTATTCGATTAGTCATTAAGAGGCCCTAGATTGCTCCTGACAATATTTGCAAATTTAGAGTTAATTTTGATAAATACTATTCAGAACATTAATGCTATTTCTGAGTCTACTGGGGTCAAATTAAGACTAAAACATGTATAATGTGAATAATTCCAAATGGGTTTACAACAGTTTGTGCACCAAATAGCTGTAATATTGGCAGTACAATGTCTTTTAATTCGTATGTCCAGCGAGGCTCTCCAAAATCCCAAATCCGTTCTGCTCATTTCATTCTTTCATTATAATAATATTAGTCAGGGGATTGTTAGAAGTCTAACAATATGAAAAGGAATAACAAAATATATTGGAGTATTGCTATACATTAATATTTTAAATTTTAAATTCCCTGGTCATTCTTTAGAAAATCATAAGCCATTTTGTATACAGTTTGCAGCAATTTACATTTGTACATTTTAAGTGTTACATCACATTGTCTGTGTAAACTGTGGCAGTAAATGCTAGCAGAATGCCTGGTTGTATAGGGAAAGGTATTAGCAGTAGAAAGAGGAAAGTGCTCATACCATTGTACAGAACACTGGTGAGACCTCAGAGTTCAGATAAGGGCTACAAAAAGGATCTTAACATGTATAGCTTGGAGGAAGAGATGCGACAGGGGGGATAGGATAGAAATATTTAAATATATAAATTGCACCAACATAGTAAAGGAGGAGAGTATATTTAAAAGAAGAAAAACTACCACAACAAGAGTACAAAGTCTTAAATTAGAGGGGCAGAGGTTTAAAAATAATTTCAGGAAGTATTATTTTACTGAGAATGTAGTGGATGCATGGAATAGCCTTCCAGCTGAAGTGGTAGAGGTTAACATAGTAAAGGAGTTTAAGCATGTGTGGGATAGGCATAAGGCTATCCTAACTATAAGACAAGGCCATGGACTAATGAGAATATTTAGAAGATTGGGCAACCTAGATGGGCCGAATGGTTCTTATCTGCCGTCACATTCTATGTTTCTATGTTTAAACCAGTTGTGTACAAATTCTGATACTGATACTGATACAGATCTGATAGAGATATACTGTATACCTGCTCACAATTCAGGAAGCGTTCTGCCTACTTCAGATGTTAAATGTTGCTCTGTATTTGTCCAGCATAGATAACAGAGAGCTTTTTTCGTAAACTATGCTATTTTCATCATATTTTTACAAGTTGGCTATCTGGATCACCGTGAGCTGTTTAGTGAATCAACCCAACATTAATATAAGCAATCTCTAGCTATGTAAAAATTTAATTAAAAAGTAAAACCATTTCCCCGCAAAACGTTTGTGTTACCATCCCCAAATATGGAACACGTTAGCATGCTGTAAAACCGCTATACGCTATCAGTTCTATCCCCAGACAATGCATCCCATATTGCAAGCATATTTCTATATCCTTTACAAAGAATGCTCAGTGAATCGCAGAAATATACTTCATTTTATTCAGCTTAGCTTTGTTATTCCCATAGCCTTTATATGCTATGTTCTGTGTAAACATGATAATAATGGAAAGTTCATTTATAATATTATTGCTGCCCATTAAGCCTGTTTGCTGCCTTTTATAAGAAAGCTTTGTGTCCCATAAGAACAACTACAAAACAGCACTTTCTCATTTCTTATTTATATAGAATTTTTACATTCACTTTAGGAAAAGCATTTATTTGAATCCTAGAACATATAGCAAAAACCATGTAGCACAATTTAAAGGTACAGAGTTCTGCATTTGTTAAAATAATCATTTCTGCGTGTGCCTTTAACTTTCCACCAAAGCCTTTTGTTTTTGGTTGAGAGTTGGCTTGATAGTGTGCTATTAAGTTTAGTCAATTGGAGGAGAAAGATAGGCTTAATCTATAGATATGTATATTATTTCTGGAGGGGGCTGTGGGGTTATTTTGATTAGCTAGCAATGAAACACTGTGACAGATATGTAACATTAGCTGCAGGCCCGGACTGGCCATAGGGCATACCGGTCAAATGCCTGGTGGGCTGAGGGTGAGCTCAAACACACAGTGCACCCCTCACACACACACACTCCACCCCAAACACCACACAGCACCCCAAACACACAGTGAACCCCCCCACACATACACTCCACCGCAAACACCACACAGCACCCCAAACACACAGTGCACCCCAAACACCACAGAATGCACCCTTCACACACAGTGCACCACTTACATACACCCTGCACGCCTCACACACCCTGCACTCTTCACACACCCAGTGCACCATTCACACACACTGTGCAATCTTCACACACACAGTGCACCCCCCACACATGCACTCCTCACACACACACACACTGCCCCCTCACACACACTGGACCATTCACACAAACACTGTATCCTTCACACACACAGTGCACACCCTGCACCCCTCTGTTGTACCTAATCATTAAATTCATGAAGCGCCAATATCAAAAAAAGCAATAATCAATTACCCTAAGGTTTTTAAAGATATTGGTGGGCACCAAAACCCTATTCGGGATGTGTGAATTGAGTATTTGAGAAAGGGAAAAACACTGACACCAAGTACTTGTAAATAATCAATACAAACCTTATTAACTAATAGAGACTTAATTAATAAGTAATAACATTACTTATAATAGTGCACATTCAGCTTAAAGGAACATTATCTAGATATCAGCTTAAGTATACATCACCATAAGAGAGGCTTGCTGCACTCGGCTGAGAGAACTTCTGGCTGTCAGGCTTGAAGGGGACCCTCTCTTACTGGGAACCAGCAGAACCAGCAATACGCGTCCGTAGTACAGGTGGGTAGTACATTTCATTGAGTGCCAAGTTTTCACGTCTTTTATAAGTTTTACCAATGGGATGGAAAGTCTGTACTTCTTCATCAAATCTCCTTATTAGTGCAGCCCAGCAAAGACCTTACAAAAGTGTTGGATGGGGCCTACAATTCTTCCATATCTGTAAATAAGACTATAAGTTATAAGTAGCAAATGTATTTTAAATAGAACCTTTCTTTTTTAGGACTATAGGTTTTTTTCTGCCCACCCCCCTTTGCTTTTAAGAAAAATGAAGTGCAATATTTACCTGAATTCCAGCACTGAGATTTCTCTGCAGCAGCTACCCGGTCCTCTTTTGAAGACATTTCCACAATCTCCTGCAATCAAGTGCTTCACAATGAGAAGGAATTAAAATTGGAAATACACATGCACATGCGCTGCAAAATGCCATGCTACTACCATCAAATACTGCTTACCTCGATTCAAGTACCGGTACACCTCCGCTGCAGCTGCCTGCTCTGGCTTTGAAGATGTTTTCTGCTATCTACTCCAGTACAGTGCTTCTCCAAAAGAAGCATTGGATTGGAGATATGCATGCACCGCAAAATGCCATGCTCCTCCAATCAAATGATGCTATCTGGACCATTTAATTCCAGGATTGAGATTGACTCCTCTAGTGGTGTCAGGGAGACAAGATTACAATGTTTTACATTGCAGGGTTAAAATGACAGGATCACTCCACCTGTTAATGTTCCTCTTTCTATGTTGAAGTCATTAAATTGATAATCATTTAATCTGATTCTTCTTTTGATGGTAAAATTCAATGATACCTGATAACTGGTTTAAGTGCAGTAAGTCAATGTAATGAACAGAATAAAATGTGAATGTATTCACTAAGCAATGAGTTTACATTTTTTTTGTACTATTCAGCTAATGTGAAAAAACATTTCAGGTTTTTTAATTGCTTATTTAAGACTATATTAATTATTAATCTGCGGATTTAACACTGGCTGTTCAGCGATGGGCAATAACACAATGAACTTTTATTTGTCCTTTTGTCACGAGTCATGTTTTATAGGAGCCCAGAAAGCACAAACTATAAGCAAAACAGCTTTAATAAATACACAATTAAGTTATAAATTAAACATGGAATTCCAACTTAGCTATTTTCCAAATTTGTCATTGCCAGGTTTTCTCAATGCTCAGTTAACTCAATACTTGTTTTCAGAACTGTTTTCAGAAGTCCAGCGATAGAGAAGCGAAATAATTGAATATTGTACTATATAATAATACCATATTTGTAGGCCTAACATGCAATTTCGAAAATGAGATTTTGAGAGCAGAGACAGACCATTCCTTTACTGAGTCAAGAGACGCACTAAGCATGAGAATGACACATCTGTATCATTAATCACAAACAGCAGTGTATGTTTGATGATTCTAGTAAATATATCACAAGGCCAGAAATTTAGGTGGTAACTGTGAGACTATAGGGATGATGGGAGAAAAGGTTTTAATAGACATAGGCAGCAAATATAGATAATAACAATTCACACGAAAGAACCAAAGAACAACACTTGAAAATATAATGTGAGTTTTCGTTAGGAGATTGTGTTACTCTCAAAAACATCAGCCAATGGGGTGCCTAATGTGCATAGTCTGTGAGTGCCATGTGTACATTAGGCCTTCCCCATAGAAAAGCACTGAAGCCTTGCTTTCTTATGGGGTTGTGCTTGAGGCTGGATGTCGTCATGTTAGAAATGTACTTAGCGTGTTTCCTAAAGAAGCACATATCTAAAGTGTGCATACATATATATTGTGCCGCCTTCCCTCTGCTGCAATATAACCCACAATATGATTAGGATACATGGTTATAATATATATAAAAACATATCCATAGATTATCGTTTTTATGCCAGGAATATTATACTTAATCAGGTTATCCTTTGTATGCGTTACACGAACAGACAAATATAGTAACACTCACTTAATATTAATATTTTAACAATTTATCCTTTAGATAGACTTTTGATGTAGGTCAATAAAATTATAAATTTCCAGTAGCATGCCAAAATAGAATCTTAAACAAGTCCAGATCAATTTCATGTGTCAATACCTTTACACAATCAAACTATTTGTAATATCACTGTGCTATACACTTTATGCAATAAATTTCATTCCAGGTTATGCTTTGGAATTATAATAATGCATATCTGCTGTTGGTGAAGTCTAATTGTCATGGTTACTCTGACCTTGAAAATTTATCTGGGTGCCTTGTATTGACCTTGGTAAATAAATCTTCTACTTTCTATCATATTTTTACCCGTTTCATCCAATTGATGGTACCATTTTGACAATGTCATGCCACCATTTATTTTAAATGTATTTTCACTTGGCTCGTGATCACTATTCTCCAGTACAGGGCCATCTTTGTCTGGACCTTTAGCACTCACCCATTGGTTCCACAAGTTCTTCCATTCTGCAAATCTCATTCACTCCAAGCCATCCCTTTGATATCCTTCTTCAGAGTCCTGCTTCATATCCTTTATCTTACCACCAAATCTTGAATGGCAGGTGTGTAAACAAAATAAGACAGGCAAGCCAAACATGATAGATAGATAGACAGACAGACAGACAGTCAGACAGACAGACAGAAAGTAACTTACTGATAGGAAGAAGATGAATACATATTTATTCATAATCTATTATTATAGCAAGAAACAACATGTAACAAACACAGACATGGAGGTAAAAGTCAGACTTATTAGACAATAAACAAATATACACCATAGTAATGGAAAGGCAAGACACAAGATAGTACAGTGTAGACACTTGCAATAACTGAGCCTGGGAGAGGTGAGATATGTATTTATTTACTACTGGCATTTATAAAGCACCAACATATTTTGAGCGGTGTACAATTAAGGGTAGAGCATGAAATATGCACAAACCAACACAAAAGGTAAAGAAAGCCCTGCCCGTGAACTAAGATCTAGCCATTGAAGCTTTTTTTTATATACAAAGTGCTTAGATAGACAGCCAGTGAGCTTACAATCTAAAGGATATAATAGGGACTTGAGAAATTAATCTGAGCAGGAAGTGGAAGGGAAGAGAGGAGGTGATAGTTCAAGGTAAAATGTTCAGATTAATCCTGGGAAGAATATCAGATAGTCTGCATCTGTGTATTGTGTGGGTCAGCTTACCAAGCAGCCAAATCACTACCAGCCAATTACTGTAGTCATTGAAAGGATAAAACGTAATGGGACACTTGAACATTAACTATTATAGTTCAGTGTATGTATGGTACAGTGCGTCTTTGGGTGCCATACCCTGGCTGTTAAACTGTTAAAAACAGTTTGACAAAAATTAGAAACCTCCCCAGCATACAAAGCCTGACCCCTCTGGATTATCTGAGCGTCTGCAGATGAAACATGCTTTGGATGCTGGCGAGATAATGCAGAATCACTTCTTTCTGCTATCTAAAGTTGTGCTACTTTACACAATACACATTCATTCATATCCCACATTTATTGCCATATTGCTGACACCTTTGCTACCACTGCCTCCATCACCACCACTATTAACAGTATTCAACCTCAGGATATTGGCAGTATCAACATACTGCCAATGTAGCAGTAGTGGACAAGAGGAATTTTTATTTCCCCTTTTAACTGATCAACACACTCCCCCCAAAAAAGGATTTTCTTTCTACAAACACTTAACAAAAACTTTTTTTAAAACCTTAACCAAATTGGTGTTAAGTGACAGTGTAACACTGCACTAACAGTAACCACCAGTGTCACACTTGGTTGAGTAAAGCAGGCTATCCACCACTCAAGATTTGTGTGCCAATGTGACAGAAGCTAGGCAAGAGGAATGCTTTTATTGGACAGCACTCCCCCCCAAAAAAAAAAAAATTGGTGATGTAGTCTCACTCTAGCATAAATAACACAATGGCAATCTTCTATCTCCTGATGGTCTTCCTCCCTCCCTCCCTCAGTAGATGTTGTCAGAGTGTCTGGAAGAATCCTGCTTAAAATATAGATTATTTTACTGCCCTTCCTTTTTTCTATTGGTTAATTGTCACTTGACCTGTAAATTAATTCAACATTACTGGCTGTCCCCTAACCATCAATCACATTTTTTCTTATACATCTTGACTCTACTGGAGATACAGCCCACATGATTAGGCAAATCACCATGGAAAACGAGGATGTTTATGCAGATCCCCTTTTTTTCTGGTTCACGGAACAGCATTCTATTTCGTAAATTGGAATTTTGGCCAATAACCGGATCAGTCCAAATTTGGACGAATTGGTGTTTGGACTGAAACAAATCTCCAAGTCTACTATCAACTTAAACAGCATCCAGTTTGATTCCACCCAACTCTAACATCAATTATATGAACACACTCTATATAGTAGTATAAATAAATATTAAAATACCAATAATCAGTTACTAATAATAAAATAATTATGTCTGCCTATGACATACTATTAGGAACCTATTTCAGCCCTTTGGATAAGGGAACTATTTAAGACATTGTAAATAAACATGTCATGAACATTAACAATGGCTACTTGTACTTTCTCTGCTTTCCGCAGTGATTAATCTCTGGTGATATTAAAAAAACAACAAAAAGCTGGCATTGTGCAGCAAAACGAGAGGAATGGCTGCTTTCACTGCTTATTTGATGAGGTTTTTTGACTGATGATAGCAAACACAATCTATTCAATTGAAATAAAGAATGAAAGTAAGCTGAAGTTCACATAAACAAAATATTCTTGCTCTCTTCAATCATGTTTACTTAGATGTCTACATTAGATGACATATTTAGAATAAAACAAGAAAAAAAAAATAATGATGTAAAATTATTTTCATTTTTTCTCTCTATAATTTATGTGAACCGTGGACTTAGGATGTCAATAGTTCTACACAATTGCCATATGGAACCCAAAACAAATGCATGATTGCACACTGCTACCTAAATTACTATTATAATTTAAATAAAAAGCACCTCTGTGTTGAACATTTTAAAATGTTTTTGTAACACTGTGCTTGGCACAAACAACGAAACTTACTATAAATAGTAAATAGTGCTTAAAGAACCAAAAAAACATAAAATGCTTGGTTTAACCCCTTCTAAGCATTTTACCCTTCAAAGAACATACTTGTTTTTTATTTTATTTTTTGTATTATGACAAATAGTTAATACAATGTATTGTATAAAAAGTCAGAAAACATACACAGATGATCTATTATTTCTCTATCTATCTATCTATCTGTCTGTCTGTCTGTATCACATACGGGAGGCTCTATCTATCTATCTATCTATCTATCTGTCTATCTGTCTATATCACATACGGGAGGCTCTATCTTTCTATCTATCTATCTATCTAACTATCTATCTGTCTGTCTATATCACATACGGGAGGCTCTATCTATCTATCTATCTATCTGTCTGTCTCTCTGTCTTAGAAATGCATGTTCTGGGTGTGCACCCAATTCCCATTTTCTGTGTAGATTTGGAATCCAGACCAGATTTTTATTGGGCTGAGTACCCCACCCATCCACTGTGTGTACCCTTTTGGAAGTGACCACAGGAAATAAGTTGAGGAGTCTCTGAAAGCAGTTGAAGCTATAAGTATTGCAAATTAGCATGTACATCTCCCATGTTAAATTTAGTATAGGACCCACAGATATTGGGGTACTGTGATGTAGTGGTGGGCTTAACACTATATGACAGTATGGTGGAACTGAACCCCTGTCACGGTGCCTGATCGGCACTTCAGTGTGACGGTACCTGATCGGCGCGGTCACACTATCACAGTGCCCGATCTGCACCACAGTGTGGCCATGCCTGATTGGTG